AACAACAGCAAAAGCTGACTAACACTTTTCACCAAGTTGTCTGTCTACTCAGGCCCTTAGGATGGAGAATGTTCTAGATTATTCTGTTTAGTTACAAGGTTGGCTCCTTTACTGAAATGAGGAGTGAGTGGGGAGAATAGGCTTGCTTTCATATAAGATCCACTTTTCTTAATTTGGAGCCAAAGCTAAGAAGGAATAAAAGGATCTTTTTTGGTACTGGGATTGAACTCAGGTCCTTGCATTTGCAAGGCAGTTAGCAGAACCACTGAGCTAAATCTCCGGCCCAAAAGGATCTTAATAGATGCCCAAGAGACAAGACCCTAAAGGGTATATATGCAGTGCAGAGGACTAGGTAATTGGAGGCAGAGCTGAAGTTTGAAAGGAAACAGATAAGAGGACAGGTGAATGTTTGCAGTGTAAAGATGCCTGTTAGGCAGGTACTGTGCTCTGCATCTATAGAAAAACCACAAGCAGGGAGGAAGTAGAGGAAATCATTCCCAAGGTGCCTCCATCCAGTCTCCTGTCCTGGAGCACTGGCTGTTGCTGTTGAGATGCCTTAATAGGTCAAGTGGCACAGTGATCACTCTACTTTCACCCTTCAGATTTGGGGTTCAGCCCCTGTTCCTGTGACTTAGCCTTAGCTCTTCTGTATTCACTCTGTCTTCACCAGTGTCATAGAAAGGTTTTGAGCCAAAGCAGCCCACAGACTATGGGTGACTTATGAAATGCTTTGACTCAGGAATCAACCCTTGTTCAATTGGTGGTAATGGCAAGGTTAGCAGCATCAAACAACCAGGTAACCTTTCTATAAGGATCTGATTCTAACTATTTTTATATAGGGACCACAGGCATGGCAAGCACTCCATGTTCTATCCATACTTTTCTACCACAAGATCTTACAAATAGATGGGATTTATCCCAAATGGGATTTACCACAGTTGCATAGCCTTAAAAATCCCAAATTGGGATATCCTCTTTAAAATATTCAAGAAACTGTTAAATAAAGATTGTCTTCCTAAGCGCTTTTTCTTGGACAAAAGAAAAATTTCACTTTGTATTTCTCTCAATAGAACTTCTTTAAATTGCCTATTGGCCCCTATATATGACAGATCTTGGGCACCGTTGCATCTTTTCACTCCTGCATTGCTGCAGCAACCAGAGGCATAAGCTGACACCAGTGGCTATTCTGATATATGGACAAACCTGGAAATGCAAGGAAGTTAACAAGGTTCCTGGAAACACTTTGGCCAATGGGAAATAAATACGTCCTTCTTTGGTCTATCAGGTGATCTATTCTGAGGTACAATTTTTGGGACCCTTTGAAGGGCCCCCAGCAGACTTGAGCCCCAGTGACTCATAGCAGTGGCCAGCTCCAAAGCACAGCCCAAGAGAATCTCTCCTTCCTCCTCTGTTTTGCACTTCCCACTCCTACTCTTGCTTTCTGGAATAATTTCCTAAGTGAATTTATACAAATTTGTATAAATATCTGGAGGTTATTTTGGGGAGACCTACAGCCCAAGACATCCATGGCTTTCAATCAAGATATGTTTTCCTTTGCCAAGTAGTTCTTATGATCCAATAAACATGCCTGGCTCTTTAACTTATTAAATTAATGCTGTTCTTTCAGAGAGCAATGCCACTTCCTTTTATTCAAAGTCATTTTCCAAGGGAGGGCAGGGTTATGGGGAAAAAAGAAGAACCAAGTTACATCATGTAAAGGTACAAGATCCCAATGATGAATGTAACTGTACTGTATACCTAAAAAAGTACCAATAAACTTAATTTTTTAAAAAGGTCATTTTCCAGCATCTTCTTTCTACCCCACTACAACTGAGCAGCTGGAAGAGGATGGAGGCAGAGCAGCAGTCCTACAAGAAAGGCTCAGGGCAAGATCTCCAAGCCTTTCTCTATATTCAAAGCAGCAATCTTAGCCCTTGGTTAGACCTTCATGGAAAGAATCCCCTATAAACCTGTTATACTAGGCTCTCCATCTGTTTAGACACAGGTCTTTCCAAAGCCCTGCAGTCATTGTAATGTGCACCCCATTTCAGAAACACATAGTACACTTAGCAATATGCCCAGGAAGAACACTGCATCCAACAAGCTATTAGTGCTACCTCAACTAATACAGTCAAGAAGACAATCGATACTTTCACAATGAGTAGAATGAAAAGTGATAATTGAATCTTTGCAAAAAAATGGCGAGAGGCATTCCATTTTTCTGGGTAAAAGCCACAGGATTATCAAGTCAGAACTAAAATGAAAAAATATAGGAATATTAATGATTTATTGGTTGGTGGATTTGAGACACCCTGATGGCTCAGGCAGAGGAGATGTGGAGAATGAAGATGAGTGGAAAACAGTCTCTCAAGAATAGATGGTATTAACTTAATTAGTGCATTGAGTGGGAATCAACCACAAATTTAATGTTTTTATCTTCTACTGTACATTTCAGCTTGGTTACTGAAGGAAGTCTCTCCTTTTCTTGTGTTTGGAACTCTGGCAAGTCTATGATTCTATCAATCATTCTTAAAGAAGAGACCATTCTATGGTTTCTTTACATCACAAACTGCAGTTTTAATGCAGTAATTTGGATGGAGAATAACCAAATCTGTGAGCTGGGCTTAGAGTCTGAGTGTCTCTTCTCTCCCACTTAGGGGCCACTGTGCCATCTCAAAGGGGTTAACTTTTCCTTTCCTCCTGTACTCTTTGCTTAGCTTATTTGCTAAATTGGATTCTGGGACTTTCTGGGTTGGGCACAGAAAGGGGATTACTGAACATTCCCACCTCAATGGTCCTCTCATGAGATCTTTATGTGCTCCAGACCTGGCTGTTATGGGAACTGACTCTGTTCTATAGGGACACTTTGGGATTCTTTTCAGAGACTTTTGTGCTGAACCTGACTTTGACAACAATCCAAGGCAGTACCCCAAGATCCTCTGGTTAGCCAGTTTTGATTCTTTTCAGCTTCTGCTTTTTGGAAATATCTGTGGCAACCTTTCACTCTCCAGTCAAAACTATCTTGAAAAGATCCAGGGTTTCAGTTTCTATAGGGTTGTATCAAGCTTCTGAAGGTGTCTCCCTGAAGCCACTCACTAGACTTGGGATGAGAAAGTAGCCCTAGTCTCCCGGCTTTGGGTGTGTTCTATTCAGAACATGACATCTCACTCTAAAGAGATCTCTTCACAAATCTACTCCTTCAACAGTCCCCACTCCTTTTATAGCCTCAAAATTGAGAGGACTCAACAAGAACAATTTGGTTTTAAAGTCTTTCATTTAATGCTTCCCAGGTTTTTCTATTTCCAGACTTATCTTGGTAACTGATATCAAATATAACTTGATATTTCCAGTCAAATCATATGATTTAAAAGATGACACAAGTGTAATTTCATGGGGGAAATGCAGGACAATGAATCTAAGCATGTGGCGTTGAGAGAACTAAGAAAAGGGCCATGTCACCCAGCTGGAAGTCTAGGCAACGGAGGCAATTCCTTATCTGACTTCTTAAATGGAGTTAGTAATGTCACAATTTTTTAGGAGGACTTTTTTGGAAGGATGTGTGCTTCGGAAGACATCTCTACACCATGTACAATTATTTTTTTTCTATTATTTATGATGCTGAGAATGGAATTCAGGGTCTCCTATGTACTATACAAGCACTCTTCTGTTGATCTTAACCCATACATTGCATGCTTAAATAAACTTTTAAAAGTCCAAAAGAGAGAGAGAGAGAAAGTGCTAATGGGTTCTTTAAACTCTTCAGTTAGTTTATAAAGTTCCTATAAATTCATGATCATGAATGTCACTGTAAAATCAGAAACTGTATTACTGTTGATTAATATTGGAGATTTCTTACATTTTACTTATGCTAAGAACAATCAGCTTCATTTTCAAAAGGAGAACCTGAACGTGGTCGTTTAGGGATTTAAAATACATCCTGAAAAAAACTGACCTTGGGAGTTGAGAGGTATGAATGCTTTGAAATGATGATCTCATTTAAAAAGTAGTTCAAATAGGATTTAATGGACTGTGAAGCTGTGGTTTTAAATTAATGAGTGTACCTAGTAAAAAGCTGTGCACTGATAAGGAATATGAAAGGTCAACTGAAGTATTATAATTATCTTAATAGTTTAAGCATCTTGCTTATTAATATATCAATTATTTTGACAGGTTTGGGGGAGTGTGAAAGCAAAGAACTGTGTCTTTTAGCATCTTCTACCATAGCATTATAAATCATTTACCAAGTGCTCACACATATGTTGCCAATGACAGATCACATAATCAAAATGTATGCATTATCCAGGCTTCCAGAAAATTCTGACTAAATATTTTCAAGTCACAGTTACATTCCTAATACTCCATCTTTTTATTTGGTCTGTCAAAACCTTGAAAGTCATTTCCCAAGAAGAAAAGACAGAAGACATCTGGTCAGTCAGCTTTATTTTTAATTACCCAAGTATATCCTGGCCTTTATATCTACACATAATAAGAGGATATGATAGAAAGACAAAGATAAGATTACTGCTCTTGGAAAACTTAAAATCAGCTTGGAGACACTGCACAAGGTAGCAAGACCTACAGATATATACTGAGTAGTATGTGGGCAGCACAAGACTATTTAGTACAGAGTACACACACACAGGGGACACCAAGGACAACTATGACAAGGGGTGGAGGAGGGCATTTGGAGAAAACATCTCAGGAGATTACAGGAGATGGGAAAAACATTGAATTTGTATCCTAGCTGTACATATACCAATGGCTTATTGTGGACCTTGGCTGATTAAATTGTACCTCCATGGGTTTTGGTTTACTCAACTCTAAAATGGAAGATGGAGACTAGATGGTATCTAAGGTCTTCCAGCTATAAAAATACAGAATTCAAAGGACAAGTGCACAGAACCTAGGAAGGTGAGGACAAGCACAAAGCTGCAGAAAGGGGAGAACATTAGCTGTGTGAGTGGGTAAGGTGCTTTATGGGACAGCAAGGACCTTATGCCTATTTATTCTAAAGATTCTAAGGTCAATAAACTTGGAAATGGGTGGGAGAGAGCACTAAGTTAATACTAGCTGGGGGTCAAAACAGAGAAAGAGATACTGTGTTTCCTGTGGTCCGACATCCTCATAATTCCTCCTGCATTCTATATGTTGTCATGGAATTTCATGGTAACCCCTTCCTCAAACCCACATCTCAGAGTAAGAAGAGGGGGTAGTTACAGATGACTTCTCTTTATATCCGCACAAGTAGCCCCCTTTTGTAGGCCAGGAAGCCAAGCGCCACTGTTGAAACGACGGTGGTCAATCCAATCAGCCTCAGCAGGCCTGGCACAGAGGGCAAATGTCTCTCCAAGAAGGTCGTGGTGATGGGCTGTACAGGGACATCCTGGGTTCAGAGAATACTGGGTGTTAGCATAGGGTTTGTGCATTTCATTCCAGAAAATCTGTATTTCCTCTAGTTTTCCGAGAGTGACTCCTCTTTTCTACCTCTAGGTCATTAAACATGACGTGAAAGTACAGTTGTGCCCTTACTACAGTGGTCCATGAGGAACACATGTGCCATAAATATTTGTTGAGCAAGTGTACTCCCTCTCAATCCCACAATCTCTTTTCTAGCAAAAGCACTAGGAGAATGACTTTGGAGTGTCAAGGCTTGGTCTCTTTGACTTCACACTTAAAAGGCTACAGGAATAACTTTCCTTCCTTCACTCTATCTTCTATGCATCCATCCTTCCAGCCAGGAAAACTCCATGGATTTTATTAAAAATATAATGAGCATACTGAAAATGAATTTTAATTTAAATATATTTAAATAAATTTAAATATATTCCATCTCTTTGCCCTTGGACAGGAGGAGATAATACACTTTCTTTCTTTTCCTACCTCCAATTGAGAATCATCAGGTCAGATACTTATGCAACAAACATTTACTGAATTACATTTTTTTTTGTTTTGGTTTGCAGTGCAAAGGTTGAATCCAAGGCCTTGCACATGCTAAGCACATGCTGTACCACTGAGCTACACTCCTAACCCCTACTGATTTCTTAATCTCTAGAACATTTTGTATACCTGAAATGTAACAAAACTTAATGAATAAAAAAATCTGGAACTCTCTGAGAAATGCCTCCCCTTATAAAAAAATCTTATTTTCTCTAATAATTTGCAATTAATTGGCAGCTACCAATTTATCAAAGTTCATTTGAATCTCTCATTTTAGCCCTATCCATAGTTAAACATTCAAGGACTGGACCATTTAGGGAAAGGTATGTAGATATATATAAGTGTGTACTTCTAGAAAATAATTATTCTTAGAGGAAAGACATTTAAATTCATGAAATAAAGTATAGCCTACCACAGACTCTGGTTCTGGCTGCCAAATTTCATCTTCTGGAATTTTCCCTATGGCATGCAAGACCTGAAATGAAAGAGCACCTCTAGTGAATAGCAAAACTAACAGCATCTTTCTCTTAATCTGCTTTTTAAAATAAAGGACTAGAGCCAGGAATTTAGCTCAGTTGTTCTGCTGTCTGCTTTGCAAGTCCAAGGACCCGAGTTCTATCCCTGTCTACCAAAATAAATAAATAAAATAAAGTAAAATAAAGGAATGTCAGTGAATGTCTTTTGAGATAGCAACCAAAAAACACCAAGATAAAGGCCAGAGCAGTTCACTTAGCCTTCAAAAATCTCCAAAAGGTCTTTCATCTACAGTGGAAGAAGATCTGACCATCAGTCACATGGTAAATTTTAGTAGATGGGACCAGGTTTTAATGGTAATGAAGTTAGAGGAATTGTCAAGAAACATAAAAATGGCTTCTCTGGGTCCTAAAAGAAACATGCTTGATTCTATAACGACCTAAGTTGTCTTTCAAGTATAACCTCATGGGCTTTTCTGTAACCTCAGGTAACATGTTAGATGTTTTTGTAATTACTTTTGGGTTAAGGCATTCTCTTCACCTAAAATTGCTGTAATGGAGTTTCAACGATGTTCAGATGGAAGCTATTAGAAGTTGGTCACAGGATCTCAGACATCTGGGATCTTCTTTCAGGCCCCTGAGTTGCCTCCTTCCCCACAGCCCATAACCCTGGGCCTTACCTCTCTGGCTGCTCTCTCCCCAGCCTCCACAGCGCCCTCCATGTAACCACTCCAGTGTGTGGCAGTCTCAGTGCCTGCAAAGAAAACCTTGCCCACTGGCTGGCGGAGAACCCTGAGAACAAAGCAAAGAGTGTAAAAGTAATTGACCATAAACACCTGGAGATGAGTGTCCCTGAAAGGACCAGGGCTCATTTCCTCAAGTTCAAAACTCCAAAGAGGTACACTGGCAATTTTAAAAAAAAATGTTCATTAGGTTCCTCTAGCTTGTACATGATCTCTGTCATAAACAGAACAAAGGCCGAAGTTCACGCCTACACAAAGAGCTCACATTGAAGCGACACTGGACTGACACTAATGGAAACAAAATATTTGTTCCACCATCATTCTCTTTATGGCTCACCATCTCTGGGCGTGGTGACACATCTCCCCAATTCCCTACCCTGTTATTCCACCAATTAACTTGGCAATTACTTCTCATTGAGCTCTGCCTTTTCCATTTCTTAACGGGGATGGCCTAAGAATTTCTAAGACTGTTTACGTCAGTATCATTTAGCAAATTTGGGAGTGTTGTGGCTCCATAATTTCCGTTCATCGACAGAGCTGATATTCAAACCCAACTGATTTGACTCTGCAACCCAGTCTTGGCCACTTGGCTATATTACTTCTCTCTTCTGCATTATTCCTCCGATCTTTTCAAGAATTCTAGGACACAGCTACCATCATTCTCTCTTTTTACTTAAGAAGAAACTGAAGCTGGAAGAAAAGTGCAGGGACTCACCAAGAGCCATAATGCTAGAGACAAGTACGGGTAGGATTTGAACTAGGTCTATCAAAATCAAAGTCTCAGTTTTTATCCTATATGCTCAGCCAGGTCTATCATTATCACCAAGTAACAGTGCCCACATACACTCACTTGTCACAGTACTTGTCCTGGGAAGAAGGGCAATTTGTTGTCACTGTGACAAATTTACCATAAGCGAAGCACTGTCAACAAGTCACTGTTTGTCCTACTCAGGATTACATTATATCAGATAAGGGATGTCAGGAGTTCATGGTTACCTTGTGTCTTAGTAAGCACACTACACACTGGACCTTTCATTTGAAACCCAAACAGGTTGGTAGGTTTTCCTTCACCCTCCCTTACTGTAGCCATCAAAAAAAGAGGGAGGATATAAGAGAAGATATTATAGACTATTAGTAAACATAATACATGGATTTATCTGGATTTATTGAGAGCCTAAGGGTATTCAGGAAGGGTTTCCTGCAAGAGAGAGTGGATTTGCATGCTCCGTGTTCATTAAACTATGCTGTATTTCACTGCATGTTTACTTTTTGCAAACAGAGATCTAAGTCCAATTGGGGACCTCTGAAAAGCCTGGCCAAACCCTAGAGTTAAAAGACTAGAAGGGAGAACAAAAGCTTAGAAAACAAATTGTGCCAGGCGCCAAAATGTAAAGATATAAAAATCAAGAATTAATTTAAACAGACAAAAAGAAAAATAGTGGCCCTCCCCCAGTGAAGTAGAAATTGTCTTTCACTAGAGGAAAAAATAAAGTCAAGCAAGCTAGATAAGAAAATCTCTGCTTCTTCTATGATAGGTGAGTGAGCAGACAGTACACATTCACAAAGGCTATAGGACATAAGACATCATAAAGGACACTTTTATGCATATTTCTGTGGCTATGTGTTTTATTGATTAATTTTTATAAACAGTTTTTGATTCTATCCAAAAGAAAATTTTCTTAAGTAATGTGTTTAGTTCTTTGCTAAAGTTGTGCTGTTAATTCTGTCCTCTGTCTTCTTCAGGAAACAGAACACTGTCTATTTTCAGGAGCCTATGGATAACACTCTTCACAGCATCCCAAATATCACAGCCTTGATGGGTCAAGAGAAGTCTTCAGGGCACATAATCTCTGCTCAGGCTGGGTTATGTCACTAAGCTATGTTTATACTCCACAGCTTGAAGACAGTGATATTAAAACTTGCCTGAGGTAAATTTCCTACTAGAGGGGCATGAAAGTACCCTGGGGATACATGGTGACAGGAATATATCTTCTTTAGGGACATGTTCAAAGCCCTCCTGATGCACATACCACCACCAGGGTATATACAGGAAGCAAAGAATAAAGATAAAAGAAGGCATTACCAGGTCATCACCAATGCCTGATGAAATGGGATTTATCTTGCTTCCCTCATGCCATCAGGATCAGGCCAATGCAAGTGAGTGCCTTTTAGGATCCTGCCCTCAAAGCCATTTTCCTGACATTCTCTGGGATTGCACATACAACTCTCCACTCTGTGGCCAGAAATCTAATCACACAGAAATCTGTGGCACGTTGGATTTAAAACAAAACCAAGGACAATAGCAATACAATGGTGGTCTTTCTCTCTTGAGAGATCAAGTTTATATCCCTGAATGTGTCACAGGAGGGTCCTACATACCTTTCTAGTCAGATTCTCCACTTTGTGTCTTCAGTGTCACCTACAGCCCAGCAATACTGAGCTTTGCCTCTGAACTTCCTAGAACTTGAAGGACTCCAGGTGCTTACTTACACCATTCCATTGCCCCACCTGCAGACACAGGAGTCTTCTACCTCTCAGGCCCCAGGTGGTATGTACATTATGAAGCCCAGCAGATTTCCTTGGGCAAGGCAAGGGCAAGGGTCCATGTGTCTTCAGAATAGTTCTATGCCCTTCTATTAGATTCTTATCTCAATACTCTAAAAATCAATTTTTAATGTTATATCTTTTCCTCATCCTCACATCATGCCCCAACATTTTCAACTCCTCAGCAGAGAAGGTTAGCCTTGATACTGAACTTTACAACACAGTGCTAGGCCTATGGTTGACACTTGGCCAATAAATGCTTAATAAAACAATTGCCATCGACTTCTGCTACACTCAGCATATCTGAAAATGACCCAATGGCTTATCAGATAGAGCCTTTTGGCCCCAGGATGTTCTTTTGAATTATATTTGGTCATCTGCAGGAAGATAAGGTAAATGCCAACTGAAGCTATTATGCATTTCTGATAAGCAGATTTTAGGTGTCCTCTGACCAGTTTTCATGGACCGTTTGATCAGTCTCCTCCTTTTACTCACTCCCTGTGTCTGATGCATACTCTCAACAGCCTTTTATTCATCATTCTACTATTCCCACATGGTTTAGATTGAGTACATGGCGTCACGTTATTGCTTGGCTAAGTATGACTGTAATGGTCAAAACAATTACTACTATATCATTAATTCATACCTTGCCATTGTTGTAAATACAATGGACTATCAGGAACTCATACTTGGATACACAACACTGGGAATTCTAAAAGCTATTAGACTGTGCACTTTGGGAAAATTGATGTGTGAATTGTAGCTGAATAAAGTTGTTAAAATGGCTCATGCTCTTATTAACATACTGATTAGTGTCCAGCGTACACTATCTTGTGTTTTCTCATTCATATTATAAGGAAAGTGAGAGATGGAGAGAAATTATTTGTCCAGGACAACCAAGTAGGTTATTGGTGGAGTCGGAATGGAAAACCAAGTCTTTTCAAGCCTGGTCTAGAACTCATTTTGCTTTTATAGTGCTCTCTCTATCTATGCTGGCACTTACACAGGTGCATTTGAAGCAGTTTTGCTGATTGTGAGACTTCTGATAATGGAAGTGAACCTTCAGACTATCTAAATTGCTTTTGGGGGGTGACACAGAGGATCAAACCCAGGGGCACTCTACCACTGAGTTACATTCCTAGCCCCTCTCCACCTTTTTTACTTTTTAAAATTTTGAGATAGTTTCACTAAGTTGCCCAGGCTGGCCTCCAATTTGGGATTCTGCTGCCTCAGCCTCCCAGGTAGCTGGACTTAGAGGTGCTTGCTTCCCCACCCATCTAAATTGCTGTTTGTATGCTGCAACCTTCTTTGGTTATATGGGATTTTCTCCTTCAGAAGAATGAAGAGTGAAAAGCAGCACTGTGATACAGAATGAGGGTGGCTTCATTCTTGGTATTCAAAAGATACAAAGAAAATTGGGGATTTTTTTTCTTTTTCTTTTAGGTATTCACAAAGAGAAGGAAGATGAATGACATAAACCCATTTAGAGTTCAGATTCCAATGCTGGGGGTTTCAGCCTCAGCTTTGCACACTTTTACTCTACCTTCCATATTGGGTCATGATCCCGGGGGGGAAATAGGTTGTATAGCAGCCCCCAGAGTACTGCTCTTCACACCAGTTCTTCTCTTCGTAATGCACCGGCTGCAAGGCAGAATGACAAAAGCGTCACACCATAGAGTGACCAAAGATACAGAGCATGACATTTAGCCTAGAATAAATCAAACACAGTCCAGTAGACTTCATAATGGATAAACAATTTATAGTCCATCCTCACAACCCAAAGAGGATTGGTTCCAGGACTCCTCATGGATGCCCAAATCCCCAGATGCTCAAGTCTCTTACATGAAATGGCACAGTATTTGTATAAAACCCATATCCTCCTGTAACTTTTGGTCATCTTTAAATGACTTATAATACCTCATGCAATGTAATTCTATGTAGTTTAGTTGTTGTAATATGCTGTTTAGGGAACAATGACAAGAAAAAGTTTGTACATGTTCAGGACAGATGCAATTCTCTTTGAAATATCTTCTATCCATGGTTAGTTGAATTCAGGGATGCAGACCCTGAAGATACAGAGGGCTCACTGATTATATTTCTGAAATAGAGCCTCATTATTTTGATGTTTTTGAAGATATGTCTTCAGGCAGGTAAATACCCTTAGTAATAAACTTGCAAGAAATTCAAACTTAGGAAAGTTTTTTTTCAATTGGTTCAGGCAAGTCTTACGTATCATTTAAAAACTACAATTTTCTATTTCCATTCTTTTGGTACTGGGGATGGAACTTGAGATCTTGTGCTTGCGAGGCAGGTGCAGTGCCACTGAGCTACATCCCCAGCCCCTTCTATTTCCATTTTTAACTTGATCTTCTTAGTTAAGAAGTTTTTAGTGCTTCACGGTTTCAAGAAAAGTTTTTTTAAAGGACTTATGCTTACTGGAGTGATAATATAGGAAACAAGCATAAAAACATGTTTGGTGAAGGAAAGCGATGACCAGATTCATGTTTTTGGTGGAAGTGAACTTTGTTAAGGGAATTGGGCAGACAGATAGTGTTTTTGTGGCACAGAGTCACTTCTATTGATGGTGGTACTTTTGAACAACTATTGGTTTGAAAAACATGTTGCTATTAACAGGCAAGATGCTGAAATTTTGCAAAGTTTTAACTCATTAAAAATAGGAACAGAGGGTGTAGACGAGTGTTAGTGTTTACCAAGAATAGACAAGAATTTAGGTTCAACCCCTAGCACCAAGAAATGAAACAAAACAAAAACCTAAACAGAAAATTTATCATAACTATATCACCTTAAAAAGATAAAAACAACATATGGAATTTTAACAAGACAAATATTTAAAATACACTTTGAAAGATGTTTCGTTTAAAAAATGTTGCAATCGCTTATCTGATTTTGAATAGTCCTTCTTAAGGCATCCTATTTACAAAGTATGAGGCCCTGCCTGAGGGGTTAAATGGCTTCAGGTGGGTTGCAGTGTCACATTGCAGGCAGCTGAGGGCCACAGCCACCTTCAAACCATTTGGGCTGTTTTCAGCCAATCAGAAGAAAAGCTGGACTTTCTCTTTCACTTTTCCTTGCTCCCAGGAATTTCTTCTTTCCACACAGTAGACACCAAAGCAAGAGTAAAGCAAATGGTCCTCTCTACGCAAACTACTCATTTTTTATCATCAGCAATTAATCATCCACATTCTTTCTACAAAAAGATTTTCCCCAAAGAAAATGATCAACTCTTTTTGGAAATATGAGAATAAGTGCTTTCTTTGCCAAATAAAATTTCCCAACTACCTCACAAGTTGCTGGAGGAACTTCAGTCACAAAATGTTTCAGCCTGAGAATGTCTCAGAATGTGACTTCAAAGAAGTTGGATTATCTACCAGGGTGACATATCTTGAGTAGTAATTTTTTTTTAAAAAGTCTGATGATTTTTAACAGTAGTGAAATTACTTTTTAGTTTGGATACATTTTTTGGCTTTGCTACTTCACTACCTTGGAGTCTGGAGGTTGTAACTATATTTAAACTTGCTAAATGGTATACTAAGCCAAAAAAATTTCCTCATTAATATTATGTTTCTAGCCAAACCAATTAATTAATTTTTTGCTCCTTTGTTGAGAAACAATTCCAAAAAACCTTAAGAATATGTCTTTCACTTATGTCTCCGGGTGGGGGGGTGTAAAAAAAATCTTGCTTTAAAACAATGAACAAATATGACAAAATCAAGCCAAAAGCCCCAACAACTTGACCAAGAGGAAGCCAACCACTCCGGAGTTGAGCAAGGTAAGTGTTAAGAGGGGGAGGACTAAGCTGCTTGCCTAGGTCGTGGTGTATACTGCAGAAGCATGCTCAGCCCCTCATCAGAGTTTTCTAACTAACTGCCACTTGCACATTGTTCTCTGTCGTCTTCAATGCTTCATGGATAACTGGATTTAATAACTACTCTCAAAAGGTGACATAATCCATATCAAAACATTAAAAGCTCAGCAGCCTGGTGACTGTTCTAAGAACACCTATTTCTTTATTTGAAACACTGATGAGGGAAGTGGTTATGGCTACTGGTTATGAGCACTTTGGGCCCAAGGACTCTCACCAGAAATCCCAAGGAAGAAGCACTGCTCTGCCTGCCTACCCTGTAGACTCCTTAACTTGCCCACCCTCATCCCACCCTTAACCACTTTAGAGTTCTATTTCATTAATTTGAAGATCCTCATTTCCTCAGGCTACTTCCAAAGGGGTCTAAGAAACTCAGGTGATAGGGATAGGCTGATCCAACTGTCTTCCTTCCATCTCTAATGTTGGGACATGGGTGTGGAGTATTAGTTTTTGTACATGAATGAGATTAACGTCCTTTTACAGGATCGCCAGAGGAAAGAAAGCTCTTTTTCATTCCCATTCTGGCTGCCAGGATCTAGGACCTCTATCCTTAGAAAAGAGCTGGGAAGCAGCCTTACCTTCAGAGCTTCTTTAGAGCCCAAGACTTTTGCATAGAGCTCACAAAGTTTCTTTAACCTATGGGGGGGGGGGG